CACTTAGTCTTAAATATTTAAAAAAATAATATTTCAATAATAATTATTTGCGGGGATGCGTTGGTCTTTGAGACGCAAGGTTTGACGTCATCGTTGGGAAACATACGCACTCGAAATAAATGTTCCAAATTCATAAATACATCATATTTTGCTTTGATACCAATAGGGATCATTATGCAAAGAAGGTTAACAGCGGAACTGGGATACGACTCATTCGGGGATTCGACCCATGGAGTCCCTCAATAGATTATTAGTGTTTCATTGAATTCTCTGCTTTGCCATGGAGGAGTTACTGCCTGGTGCAGCGGCATGGAGACTCTACGGTGGCATCCACATTGCGACCAGGTCGATGAAAGGATTCGGATATTACTTCTAGCTACACTCTCCCTTTGTGAGCTTGAAAAAATTTGGCTCGATGCAGCAGGTGCTCAAATGGGTGCAGAGATAGAAAGGAACCGACAACCGATAACACCAAGATATGGAACCAAAGAAGGGAAAAAATCGTCGGGGAGAAAATCGACTTAGCTGGACGCAGAGCTTTGACACAGTCGAGTAAATATGACGAAAAAAATTGACGAATACCTGCAGCTTCGACTAGAGATTCCCTGTATTCATACGGACATGCAATGAGATGAGATTAGAAGTAAATATGTAAAAGCGCTTCTGTTATTCCTGCATTTGCTTACCTTTGACGAGAGAAATACCAGCCAAATCACGTGCGAGAAATATGCAAATCATCACTTCCACAATCGTTTAGACCAGAAACGACTTTTGACTTATCTAGCTAAGGCAGAAGAACCCTTGTCCTTTTCAGCACGCTCAGTGTCCTTGTGTCCCGTTGGCGAGATTTGAATCGTACATCATCACTACTGCAATTGTACACCACATGATGTTGCATTGTGCCATTGGATAGATAATTAAATTAAAAATCCTGAAGAAAATATTTTAAGTATCCTGGGAAGATTAAATTTTAAACACTAAGAATGGCAAGATAAGATTGCACACTTTCCAAACGTAACACATGAGACCATTTGAAACTTGTAAAGGTATTATGAAACCTGAAAATCCATCCAAGAGACAAAAGAATTCTTCCAGATATTGTGTAGGCATGACATCACGTATCAATACAGTACGCGTCAAAATTAACGTACCAGGGTTATCTCGTATTTAACAAGAGATGTAGGAAAACCTTTTACATCAACAGAAAGGTCTTACACAGCCCTGATATCAATACAGAGTATAATCGCTCTGCACTTCGACTACAGCACGTAATCGGCCCGGCATCGAGTCTGCCAAATTTTCGGCGAATTCTTCACTCAGATCCTCCCACTCCTCCTTAATTGCTACCCTTAAAGTCTTGATCGTTCTTGGGCGCCGATGCACCACTTTGACCTTCAGGAGACCCCACAAATTCTCTATGGGGTTGAGGTCGGGAGACTGCGACGGCCAGTCCAAACGGAACACCCCATTCTCAACCCTCCGGTTGGTCGCCTGCTTTGAGGTGTGCTTTGGATCATTGTCATCCTGCAGCACCCAAGTCTTCATTGAATCGGGAAACATAGTCGCTGCAGAAGGCAAGAGGGCACGCTCATAAATGGTCTTCAGCAGATGCGCATACAGGTTCTGGGTGAAGGTGCAGACGTTCCCAATCCCTCCAGCATAGAGGCAGCCCCAAGCATGCGCCTTACCCAGGTGCTTGACAGTCCGAGCGATCATTCTTTTCCCTACACCATTCCCGTCTTGCGATATATTTTAAGCCAACCGGCCTTCGCTGGCTTTGAGATCTTTTTCTACTTCGCGATAGCGCAGAAGAGACCTTCGGACGCAAGGGACGAGCGACATTAAATAAATCTCGTAGCGATTCTTCATTGAAATTGGCATATTTCCCCACGCCGATGAAGAACAGTTGCGTAACTGGGATGTAACGAACTAGTCACCCATTTTTAAGGCGGATCAGCACTCATGGGCTTATGCAAAACGTTTGAGCCGCGTAGGTTCCCTATCTTTCAAGAAAACCCGGTACGTTAATTTTGACGCGTACTATATATCAAATGTCACGTCTACACTATAAAAATGCCATGCTTCCGTGACCTGAGAAAGTATTTATACTTTTGAAAAAATGAAATAAAAACAAGAATTTCAAGGATAGAACTGGTAGGCAAGATAGGGCAAGGACAATACAAAATACAATGACAAACGAATGGACCTGGCAATGCTACCTCCAGGGATTCCATTCCCAGCTGCAAAGCGAAAGTGATTATGAGACCATCGGGANATCTGGCGTCCCTCAAGTCAATAGCACTTCGGTAGGGGATGCTTCTTAACCTCTATTGTATGAATTATGAAGATGTGGCAGAAATAATATATTATATCAATTATCACTTAGTTTTAAATATTTAAAAAAATAATATTTCAATAATAATAATTTGCGGGGATGCGTTGGTCTTTGAGACGCAAGGTTTGACGTCATCGTTGGGAAACATACGCACTCGAAATAAATGTTCCAAATTCATAAATACATCATATTTTGCTTTGATACCAATAGGGATCATTATGCAAAGAAGGTTAACAGCGGAACTGGGATACGACTCATTCGGGGATTCGACCCATGGAGTCCCTCAATAGATTATTAGTGTTTCATTGAATTCTCTGCTTTGCCATGGAGGAGTTACTGCCTGGTGCAGCGGCATGGAGACTCTACGGTGGCATCCACATTGCGACCAGGTCGATGAAAGGATTCGGATATTACTTCTAGCTACACTCTCCCTTTGTGAGCTTGAAAAAATTTGGCTCGATGCAGCAGGTGCTCAAATGGGTGCAGAGATAGAAAGGAACCGACAACCGATAACACCAAGATATGGAACCAAAGAAGGGAAAAAATCGTCGGGGAGAAAATCGACTTAGCTGGACGCAGAGCTTTGACACAGTCAAGTAAATATGACGGAAAAAATTGACGAATACCTGCAGCTTCGACTAGAGATTCCCTGTATTCATACGGACATGCAATGAGATTAGATTTGAAGTAAACATGTAAAGGCGCTTCTGTTATTCCTGCATTTGCTTACCTTTGACGAGAGAAATACCAGCCAAATCACGTGCGAGAAATATGCAAATCATCACTTCCACAATCGTTTAGACCAGAAACGACTTTTGACTTATCTAGCTAAGGCAGAAGAACCCTTGTCCTTTTCAGCACGCTCAGTGTCCTTGTGTCCCGTTGGCGAGATTTGAATCGTACATCATCACTACTGCAATTGTACACCACATGATGTTGCATTGTGCCATTGGATAGATAATTAAATTAAAAATCCTGAAGAAAATATTTTAAGCATCCTGGGAAGATTAAATTTTAAACACTAAGAATGGCAAGATAAGATTGCACACTTTCCAAACGTAACACATGAGACCATTTGAAACTTGTAAAGGTATTATGAAACCTGAAAATCCATCCAAGAGACAAAAGAATTCTTCCAGATATTGTGTAGGCATGACATCACGTATCAATACAGTACGCGTCAAAATTAACGTACCAGGGTTATCTCGTATTTAACAAGAGATGTAGGAAAACCTTTTACATCAACAGAAAGGTCTTACACAGCCCTGATATCAATACAGAGTATAATCGCCCTGCACTTCGACTACAGCACGTAATCGGCCCGGCATCGAGTCTGCCAAATTTTCGGCGAATTCTTCACTCAGATCCTCCCACTCCTCCTTAATTACTACCCTTAAAGTCTTGATCGTTCTTGGGCACCGATGCACCACTTTGACCTTCAGGAGACCCCACAAATTCTCTATGGGGTTGAGGTCGGGAGACTGCGACGGCCAGTCCAAACGGAACACCCCATTCTCAACCCTCCGGTTGGTCGCCTGCTTTGAGGTGTGCTTTGGATCATTGTCATCCTGCAGCGCCCAAGTCTTCATTGAATCGGGAAACATAGTAGCTGCAGAAAGCAAGAGGGCACGCTCATAAATGGTCTTCAGCAGATGCGCATACAGGTTCTGGGTGAAGGTGCAGACGTTCCCAATCCCTCCAGCATAGAGGCAGCTCCAAGCATGCGCCTTACCCAGATGCTTGACAGTCCGAGCGATCATTCTTTTCCCTACACCATTCCCGTCTTGCGATATATTTTAAGCCAATCGGCCTTCGCTGACTTTGAGATCTTTTTGTACTTTGCGATGGGGCAGAAGAGAGCTTCGGACGCAAGGGATGAGCGACATTAAATAAATCTCGTAGCGATTCTTCATTGAAATTGGCATATTTCCCCACGCCGATGAAGAACAGTTGCGTAACTGGGATGAAACGAACTAGTCACCCATTTTTAAGGCGGATCAGCACTCATGGGCTTATGCAAAACGTTTGAGCCGCGTAGGTTCCCTATCTTTCAAGAAAACCCTGGTACGTTAATTTTGACGCGTACTGTATATCAAATGTCACGTCTACACTATAAAAATGCCATGCTTCCGTGACCTGAGAAAGTATTAATACTTTTGAAAAAATGAAATAAAAACAAGAATTTCAAGGACAGAACTGGTAGGCAAGATAGGGCAAGGACAATACAAAATACAATGACAAACGAATGGACCTGGCAATGCTACCTCCAGGGATTCCATTCCCAGCTGCAAAGCGGAAATGATTAGGAGACCATCGGGATGGGTCCGCTGTGGTTATATCCGCTGTACATGCAGAAGGGGGTCCTACCGACACTGATCAGGTGCTTTGTGTTCGTTTATAACTTGGTGGGGTGGGTCGTCATCCTCTGTGTCTTGGCCGTGCCGTGTCTCCTGTTTCTTTCATACCGTTTGGGGGTGTGGTTGTGGTTGAGATGCCGACACAGGGGAGAAGTGAAACTGATGGATATGTCGGATGCAATATTTGCTCTGCGTTCCATCGATCGACCTAATTCCAGGGCCATTGTCGTCGGTTGGATCGCCGTCGACGGGTGTGTTGACATCTGTAACTTTAAGGAGAGGATTCGGAAGCGCATTCAGGAAGATAGATGGTTTCAAAGATTGACTTTCTCCTTCCAATTCCATTGGCCATTGTCGTCGGTTGGATCGACGTCGACGGGTGTGTTGACATCTGTAACTTTAAGGAGAGGATTCGGAAGCGCATTCAGGAAGATAGATGGTTTCAAAGATTGACTTTCTCCTTCCAATTCCATCTCGGTTATGCGGTTTGGAAAAAAGACGAAACCTTCTCTGTCGATCACCACGTGAAGCTGATTGCGGAACCGGAAAGGACGAGTTTCAAGGATTTGATAGAAGAACAACAATGTCAGGATTTTGAAGTGGATCAGTCTCCCTGGGAAATTCTGGTATTGGGGAGTGGGGAAAAGACGACTTTGATCATCAGATGGCATCATTGCTTGGCAGACGGACCAGGCATGATGAACGGGATAATCAGACTCATCTTGGACGAGGGCTCTACCTTTCCAACAAGCAAAATCCCAGAGAGAATTGCACCGAATCTCAAAACTTTCTTCATTTTCCTCAAAAGCATTTTCTACCTGCCCACAATCTTGCCGTGGTTTTCACTCATCCCAGAAAGAAATCGTCTCTCCGTGGCTCACCCCACCAAGAGGAAGAGAGTTTGCTGCTCGGATCCGTTACCCTTGAATCCATTGAAGCGTATCGCTAAGAATTTTTCCTGCACTATCAACGACATCTTCATATCTTGTGTGATCCAGGGATACAAAGAGACGCTGTTAGGGTCGACAGACACGTTATCGGTGGGAATGGCCGTGTCCCTGCAAGGAGAGTCGCCCATGATCTGCAATCGAGCAATTGTGGTCCGGACCCCGTTACCCGTGAGCCTCGACGGCGACGTTCGCATCCATGAGATCAGCAAGATGACTAGGTGCCTGAAATCATCGCCGGACATCCTCTGTAACTACGCTCTTGTGCACTTCTTGCCCAACGCGCTGCCTTTGTGGTTGTTGAACTTGTGCCTGAGAGGGAAGGCACCTGGTGGAACAAGCAATATGCCCCTTTCAATGCCCCCTGATGCCCGGGTCCAAGATCTGCCGGTTTCTTCCGTAGGTGCGGTCGCGCCCATGATTCTGGACATTGGTGATTCCCCTTCTTTTGGTATTCCTAGGATATCGCCGACGTGAGAAGAAAAACTTTCGAAATACTTCTTTAAGCCATAGGGGTGCAATTACTTTGGATAGCAAACATTTCAGGTGACGTGGGTATTTGATATTAACCAAAAGTGGCAAGAAAATGGGTGAAAATAACCACTACCACTTCCAAAAGGTCGACTAAATTTAGTCGCCATATCCCAAAGTTTAGCGGGGAAATTGCAGCATAGCAATATCCTTTACCATTTGAGCTTTTAAAACCAGTGTCTCTGAAAATGAGCATTATCTAGGGATTTTTCTCTTTAAAACGCCATCGTACCGGTGATCGCATCATCCCCCGTGAACACCGAGAAACACACTGATGGAAATTCCTAAATTACAGCTACGGAAAATATGAATTTAATAGAGAAACGTGGGAAAAGGGAAATTACTTGGAGCACGAATACGACCTTGAATAGTGGAAGACCTCACCCTCTTTCCTCCTGCATTTCCTTCCTGTGCGGAGTACTCTCATTCTCTTGTTCGGCACAGGCTAAAAAATGAATCCCTCTCTAAAGAATCGTGAGAGTTGTATTGAGCGGCGAGTGAATTTCAATATTGCTTGCACAACCGGATATTGGAGCTATTTGGAGCAAAATCATTCTACTTCTGGGGTACATGCCCTTGGAGCAACTTTTCTGTAGGTATTTCCTCAAAATTTTTCCGCTGTAGGGCAACGACCAAATACAGAAATGTGAATTTCGGCGTATTCAGTTTCGGAATGCTGAGCTCAGGAAAATGCATACGATTGAGGTACGACTCACTACTGTAGAGCCCCCTGTTGAGGGTGGGGTTGGGTAACCTTGAACATTTTGAAAAAAAATTTTTATGTGTCTCATAAAAGATAGTGGATGAAAGAAAATTTCCATGGGGACCTTTTCGGCGAAAACAAAGAATAATTGTTTGTTTAATGTTGGTAACATAAGACCAGCAATGATGCCACAAGATGTAACTTGACGGCACCATGAAAAATACCGATAACCTCAGAAGTTATCGCCACATTGGTAGGGATGAGCGTCGAAAACGGATGCTCCAAACGAATTTTTCATCTTATTACCTCGTAGATCGTGAAGCGTGGAAGGCGCGACCACTGTGCATCTGCCTGCCCGTGAGGCTGACAAATTCATTCGCATGAGCTTCATCTCCATAAAAGGTTCCTTATGAAATCCGTAAGCTTCAGGAAAAAATTACATAAAGAATTTAATTTATATGGCGGTTAAAAAAAAAACGCTCAACCGTTTTCTATGGGAGAAACAGTTTCATAAATTCAACAAAAAGAATTAAATTGGTTACGCTATCGATATTTGAGTGTTACAAGGCGTTGAAATGCTTGCCAGCTTTTTTCCAGCACTCTTGCCTAAATTGTACAATGCCCATTTAGAGGTGAATTAAAGGTGCTTAGAGGTGGATCATTCCACCTCAAGCGAGGAGACGACCTCTGCTCGACCGTCTCAGAATTCACTGAACTTTTCAACTTTAACTTTAAAGGACAACTGGATCCTGTTGATACACGACAAAAGTTCACCAGTCTAAGTGGGTTTTTTTTCACTTCCGCAAGATGGCGCTGTATCCAGATAGAGGGCGCTGTTGCTGACCAGGTGGACGAGGGTGATTACGAAAAAGCTTCAGTTCTCAGAGGGAAGAACGTATGATTCGTGCTCATATGCCCTATGCAAAGTTCAAAAATTTGTTCTGAGAAAAACTCTATTCTAAAAAAAACTTTACGTCCAATATCAAAAGTTCATCAATTTAAAATTTTTCCTCTAATAAACAAATCATACTTTCTCGCCTTCGAAAACGGGCGAGCGTTTTTTCTTGAACCACCCTACATATCGTCTCCACCAGTTTTCTCTTCCAGGAAATGAATATTGCCGCACAAAGAAAGGCGCAGCTAAAAAAAAAAATTTGCACCGGGCAGTTTGTATTTTAACGAGGCATAAGAAACTTCAAGTTAAAAATGGGTCAGCCATCCATTATTTCACAAGATTTCCTTCTCCGGTGGACCATTGCGCCGCCATACGAGTGCAAATTTAAGTGATAGGTTTGGCTGGATTCTTGACGTAAATGTCATTTAGTCCATTTTTAATCGTGCATAAATTTTTTTTCCAGGCTCCACCAGAAGCAACAGTATCAATAGCTTCAATGCTTAATTATGACTTGAGTTTTTTTTTTTTTACCAACGAGCCATATCATACTTATCCGATAGCCAATTAGAAAATTACCGTATGAGGAAAATTTCGTCAGGTATCAAACAAAAGTATAACCGACACTCTTAGAGGTAGGGCCACTTTTCCCAGAAAAAACAGGGTTCTCTAACACGGTGATAAAATTTTAAAAGGAAGGAAAAATCAAGTTTCCTAAATCAATTATTAAGCTAGATGAATTCTCCTACCAAAATGAGCCCCTCTACAGACGACATCTACCTTACCAGATCAACAAATGAACAAGAGTCGAAACCATTTCGATTTTAAATATGTATAAAGTACCAATAATTGGTGCAATTTTCCTGAAATTTCCATCCTGGCTCTGTTGTCATAGATTTCCTGAATGACAAGACACCCTGCCAAAAGGAACGACAGCTACTGAGAAATGATACCGATTTATGTTTTCCAGGTATGTGCATCTCGTTGGTGAGCGCCGGGGACTCGTATCATTTCGCCATCATCGCAGACCAAAGCGCCTTCGAGGAATCGGAAGACGGGAGGGATTTCCTGGGAGCCATGGTGAACCACGTCGACACTATTGCCTCTGCCGCAGGAATCAACTAACAGAAAAACGATATACACTGATGCGGAATTTGGCAGTATCGTTCCCACAAAAAAAATTGATCAACGAATCCCAATATTGAAGGGCAATGCATCAGAAACAAAACGGTTGAAACCCCTGCAAAGCCACTCGTGAGAACGCCACCATCCAGACAGTGAATTCCTTCCATATACTGATAAGAATTGGCTTTCATGAAGTGGAGAGATTGTTCTTGTTAAAATTCTTTTCCTCAACATGGGATGCACGACTCAAACACAGACGAAAGACGAAGTAACACGCTCCAGTTGAAACAGAAGGGCCTGGTAAAAGGACTAAACACAACTGATTTCCAAGAAGGAGGGGTTACATTTTTTCATAAAAAATATCTTCTTGGAAACGTGATGTAAGCCTAATCTCCATGGTGTTCTAGATGTTTTTGGAATATAACTTTCCGCCTTGAAGATGTAGGACAAAGGAAAGAAAGTCAATGGAATCTAACAGCAAGCCTAACATGGTGTCACCTGGTCGGAAGCCACGGTAAAAAGATAAGGGGCAAACAGGAACTCTCCGACACGAATGAGACACTTGTTTCCTTGATACAAGGGCTGAATATCTGTCAGAAAATTGGGCGAGAAAGGAACTTCTGCAGTGTCAAGAAAAGGAAATCATGATGGAATGTTCAATAATGATGCTCTGTTTAAATGCTTTCCATTGAACACGAGACCCAATCAGTAGGGGAACTCCCGTCCTACCTGGGTTGGAGTCAACAGCAAGACTTGCTTGACAAAAAAAGCACAGGTTTGCTCTCTCCGTTTCCCGAATTCATGATCTGCCTGACGAGGCTTCCAGTAAGGAACAAGCTGATGAATGAATACGATCGTATTTACTGTATAGATGAAGATGGACGACTTACACGATGCCCTTTTCTATCGGGGTAAATTTCTCCAAGATGTCTTGAGATTTCAAGATACAAAACGGCAGCATTAATTGAAACGCCATTGATTGAAACCTCATTCATAAAATTATTAGGCTAATATAATTCCCAGCTATGGAATTAGTTATGCCTTCTTGAGTTCTTAACAACTTCAAATCCAAAGCCTCGTTCTTGTTAAATAAAAATTCCATTCCTTCTATTAGTTTGAATATTAACATATTTCGGCAGCATCATGAAGAAAGGCAGGACTGACCAGCGATTCCGTTGCTAAGTCACGTCTACATGAAAACAATGACATGAATTGTATCAGGTACAGCAAATAAATGCTGGAATGTCAGGGATGGAACTAGTTTGAAACTCGTAGCGAGATCAAGAACGAAAGTAAAAGACGAATAGATCTGTTACAGTGCAGAGATTTCACTACAGGATGGGAAACTGTCGCATCTGTTAGCATTTGGGATGGGTCCGCTGTGCTTCTACAGGCTGTACTCGCAGAAGGGAGTACTGCCAGCTCTATTGAGATGCATGGTGGTCATTTATAACCTGTTGTGGTGGGTCGTCATTCTCACTGTCTTCATCATGCCGTGGCTTCTATGTCATTTTTATCGGTTGGGGGTGTGGTTGTGGTTGAGATGCCGACATAGAAGGGAAGTAGAGCTGATGGGTGGGTTGGATGCAATGTGTGCTTTGCCTTCCATTGATCATCCTCAAGCCAGGGCGCATGTTGTCGTCCGGATGGCCGTCAACGGGAGTCTTGACATCCCACAATTCAAGGAGAGGATTCGGAAACGCATTCAAGTAGATAGTTTCAAAGATTGACCTTCTCTTATCACTTCCGTCTCGGTTATGTGGTTTGGAAAAAAGACGAACCCTTCTCTGTCGATCATCACGTGAGGCTGATTGTAAAACCGGAAAGGACGAGTCTCAATGATTTGATAGAAGAACTGCAATGTCGGGATTTCGAAGCGGGTCGGTCTCCTTGGGAAGTCCTTGTCTTGCTGGGTGGGGAGAAGACGACTTTGATCATCAGATGGCATCACTGCCTGGCTGACGGACCTGGTATGGTGAATGGAATATTGAGACTCATCTTGGACGAGAATTCCACAGTTACAGCCACAAAATACCCAAACCGGATAGCACCGAATCTCAAAACTTTCCTTATGTTCCTCAAAGGCATTTTTTATTTGCCTACACTCTTTCCGTGGTTTTCATTCATCCCAGATAGAAATCGTCTCTCTGTGACTCACCCCACCAAGAGGAAGAGAGTTTGCTGCTCGGATCCATTGCCCTTGGATTCATTAAAGCGTATCTCTAAGAAGTTGGCCTGCACTGTCAACGACATCTTCCTATCTTGTGTGACACAGGGATACACAGGGAGAGACGTTATTGGGACCGGAAGACACGTTATCTGTGGTAACGGACCATCTCTCTGCAAGGGGAGTCACCCGAGCTTTGTAATCCTGTAAGCGCGGTTCGTGCCCCGTTACCCGTGAGCCTCGACGGCGACGCCCGCATCCGCGAGCTCCGCAAGATTACTTGTTGCATGAAGTCATCGCCTGACTATTTCGGCAGTTACGTAGCGGTGTACATGATGTGCAATGCGCTGCCCGTGTGGTTGTCGACTTTTGGCCAGTTGGCGAATGTGGCCGGCTGCGTGAGCAATGTGGCCCTCTTCTTGCCCCCCAACGCCCGTCTGCAAGACCTGCCAGTTTCCTCCATATTTGGATATCCGCTTCCGATCCCTCCCACCGGTGATTCACCCTCTTTCAGTATATTAAGGATATCGTAAACGTGAGAAAGAAACCTTTAGCAGATCTCTACTAAATCACACTCATGAAAGTTTTGGGGCTATCACTTTCGGTGAGGTGTATCTCCAACATTCACCAAATGTGGTAAGAGTCTTGGTGCAAATGAGCACCACTACTTTAAAGTAGGCTGCACATAGTCATCACATAAAAAAAAACTCCGAAAGGAAAGGTGGTAGGATTAAAATGACAAACTACACTGGTTTCCAAAATCTAAGGAAAAAATAGGTTTTCCCAAGTTCCACAACACCCCCGTCATGAAATTGGTCGAAACATACAGGAGTACGTAAATTAACGATGCTACGGTGCCGTAGCACATGCAACGTGGTGGAGATTACCCGCTGATACGCAAATCACATGTCTTTAAAAGACGGCGCTCTGAGAGGGGGTAGCGCAGTTCACGTTGGGATGGCAAGCAGTTAATTTCAAGATAGCCAAATCCTTAAAATGACCAAAAGGAACAATTTAACAGAGCAACTGAGATGGCTCGCCATTGCGCCTTCCGGATCGCTATCGTTTGCGGTAATCGTCCGGCCGACATCCAACAACACATTTATGGCTAGTGTATCTACAACATTCACATGGTGTTCGTCACATCACGAGTTTTCAATTTGTTCCTTAAGTTCTGGAAACCAGTGTAGTTTTTAAAAGATTTGGCCAAAAAAGATTTGGCAAACCCAGGGTTTGGTCGTCCCCACCCCCCACCCCCCCCCCCCAAAAAAAAAAAAATAAAAAAATAAAAAATAGAGAATCAAGTCGATTTCGTCAATTTCCATACTAATGACTCCCCTGACCAAAACAGTCCTTCCGTAGAAGACCTCCACCTTTCCCGCAATCTTGTGGGAAAACGACACAAACGACAGTTGCAGTTTCAGCAATTCACTAGTTTCAGGAAAGGTGGCCTACCTTCCTGAAATTTCAATCCTTTCCTCAGTTTTCCTAGCATGCGGAAAAAATGCCGACACGAACGACTGACCGACAACAACTACAAAGATGATAAGGACAATGTTTCTTTCTGTTTCAGGTATTGGTATCGGGTTATTAAGTTTCGAGAACTGGCATCACCTAACCGTTGCGGCAGACCAGAGCATCTTCCAAGAACCAGAAGACGGCAAAAATTTCCTGGACGCTATGGTAAACCACGTGGATACCCTCGCTTCTGCTGCTGGAATCTCCCTGGCGGAAACCGTTTGAAACCATTTGTATAACGCCACGATCTTCTCCGTGAATTGTTTTCATATTGTGACATAATTTGGTGTTTAGGGCATGGACGTATTATTCTTGCATACTTTCTATTCTTCAACATGGAATGCAGCACTCAAGTACAGCCTTCAGAATGTTATTGGGTTGGAAAGAAAGTCTTGCAACACTGCGCAAATTTGTCAAAATAAAAAAAAATGCTATCAAAGTGGAGTGCAGTCGTATCTTTCCCGATCTTTCCCCTTTATGTGGAGTCGCGACAAAGAATCTAAGCCATCATCCTTTGAAGTTGGACGCTGAAACAATCTTTCCGAAATGATCCATAAGGATACAAATTCCAACCATTCCCACATTCACAGATACGTGAAATCCATTCGAGAAACGTTGACGATTTGGACATTTATACACATTGAAGCATCACAGTTCATCAAGATTCTTAAAACGTTACTTGAAAAACTTGCTACTTGGGGACACAGAAGAATATCGATGAAGAACTGGTAGAAAATACGACAGATGTAGACCAACAGGGAACTGCTTCGACGAGAGATTCCCTGCAATAATGCCGACACGGAATGAGATCAAATGTTGAAGTAATTCTGTGTTGGCATTTCTGTGACTGCTGCATTCATTCATCAGTGCAAGAGACCAGGGATTCTTCTCATGTACAGGGGGGAAATGTCGATCTGCAGAAATTTTGACCGCTTCTCACTAATTTGGATATGCTGCAGAAATCATCAACCTTTACCCTAGCATCGTGTCACGTCGGAATGATGCGTATCTATAATTTCATCCTACCACAATGAGCGATTGGAAAGACGTAAACAAATATTGAAACAGTTCACGCACTCAAAGTAGACTGAATTACAATGGAATTGAATTGCGAGAACCATTAATCAATCTATTTATTAATTTCCGAGATGGAACGATAGATTTATAGATAGATTTTCTGTCTTTCGAAAGCTCAAAACTTCAGCTTTGAGACGATGTGCAGCACGTGTTGCTATCTCTTGGAGAAATGCACGAACTTCTTAAAGGAAAAAGTAGCCGGCTACGATCGGCGGATCGCCAGTTTCGTAGGAATGGGCTTCGCTAAAGCAGCCGGCTTCGTAAATCAATGGGTTGATGGCATATCATCGAAGACCTAAGAAAATTCAAAACTCGTCAAGGCTTAAGGCACTATACAATCTCAAACCCGTAAAGAGAAAATGGCATCCTGAGTTACAAAAGGATGCACAAAAACACGTCTACATCATGGAAAAACGATTATTGCACAAGAACAAGAAAGAGAAAGAATTCGAGGACGTCAGGGATGGAACTGGCCGAAGACATATGGGTGCGATCAAACAATAGACATCCATACGTGAAGGTTCCCCGTAGGGATTCAGTGTCCTTCAGGCACACGCATCTGGTTAGCACTAGGGATGGGTCCGCGAGGGTTCTACAGGTTGTAAACGTGGAAGCGGGTTGTGCTAGCTCTGTTGAGGTGCATGGTACTCATTCTGAACCTGGTGTGGGTGGGTCGCCATCGTATTCGCCGTTTCGAACCTCCTGTGTGCGTTTTAAATGGTCGGTGTGGTTGAAACTGAAATGCCGACACAGGAGTGTAGGGGGAGCTAATGGCTCGGTCGGATGCACTGGGGGCTCTGCGTTCATCGATCGAGTTCATGCCTGGTCGCATACCATCGACTGGATTGCCGTCAATAGGAGTCTTGACGTCTACACCTTCAAAGAGAGGATTCGGAGGCGCATTTCGGCAGATAAATGATTTCAAGCATTGACCTGCTTCTTTCACTATTGGTTCAGATTGCGACACCGGGAATAGCAAGCATGTGATAGAGCAGAGGTGTTATTAATTAATTTTCTCCGTCCCGCGAAGTCCTCTTGGTTGGTTTCGGAAAAGTGCTGCAAATTTCACTTGTTCGCATTAAAAGTGAGGCGTATGAGGTGTGAAATTTGTTAGTGAGGTCCCCAGCCACCCCTGAACCAAATCATTTGATCCCTGCCAAATTGAGTTTCACACCTCTGTGATATAGGAAATGGAATGTTATTATTTAGAAGCAGATCGGCCTTTCTGAGGAGTCCGGGTGTTACTAGAAGGGGTCAAAACAAATTAAATCATCTGATAGCATCACTGCCAGACTGATGGATCTGGAACGAATGCCAGGTTAAGGCACACAACTGGCCGAGAGTTCCGCCTTTCCAACATGAAAAATTCCAGGCGGAAGTGCTTCGAACTTAGAGACTTTTGTGTTCCTCATCTCCCTTGTCGTGGTTCATTTCCATCCCAGATCGAAATCCTCTTCGCACGACTCGTCCAACCGAGAGGGAGAGAATCTTATTTTCAGATCGATTGCCCTTGAATTCATTAAAGCGGGTCGCTAGGAAGTCAGACTGCACCATCGATGACTTCTCCCAGATCGAAATCCTCTTCGCACGACTCGTCCGACCGAGAGGGAGAGAATCTTATTTTCAGATCGATTGCCCTTGAATTCATTAAAGCGGGTCGCTAGGAAGTCAGACTGCACCATCGATGACTTCCTTTTTTGCGTGGTGCAAGGATGGAAAGAGACGCTGTTGGGGTCGATTGAAATGTTGACCATTTGGATTCCCGTGTCCCTCCGAGGGAAGTCGTCCGAGATCCGCAATCGCGTTGGTCCAGTCTTGGTCCCGCCACTTGCAACCCTCGACGGCAACACTCAAATCGACTAGATCCTTGTCATGACCCGCAGCCTCAAAGCATTGGTTGATTTTCTATGCAGCCACGCCGTGCCTCCAAATTGCTTCCCCGTGCCCGGGTTCGAGGTCTGCCCTCCTCTCGGTGTTTGCTCGCGCTACTGATGCGGCACTTCCGTGATTACCAATATTTTTTGCGACGATGTCGTCGGGTATGGTCGAGGTGTCTCTGCTCATTTTAGAGCAGAGACGTTGCCACTTTTGTTCCTTTCTTTGGAGTAATTCTATAAACGAATGAAGGCTTACGAAAGATTGCACCGAGAGGAAAGAAAATTAACGGGGCGACGAGATGCCATCGGAGGGCCGACGGCCGCCAAAATCATCTCGTTGGGAGAACTCGCACTGAGCAGAACATGACCGATTATATTTTTTTATGAGATTGCTGGTCTCGACATTGACCTTTGCATCTGCTGCTTAGCAGTGGCTACGAGGTACCGACGGTTACCGACGTGGTCAGTACATAGTTGGAACATCTCCCATACGCAGGAAAGGTCAGGGGACCCATAAAGCACCCTGCATATCTATTCATATATGGAACTATTTTCACGAAACATGATCCCAGTAGTCTCAAGAAATTTCATGCAAATTCACTTTCCCAAAGGAAAGCTAGGAGTGATTAAAAGAAATGGGAAATCGAAAATGAGAGGCTGCAGTCCCTTCATGCAATTCCACTCAGTTTTCATTCTCCATCGCTAGGGACAGAAAAATCTCACGAAACCAGGAGGAAACTATATTGATACTAGTTGATTCATCGGTCATAAATTTTATAAAATAGTTTCGCCTCGAACCGTCTCGACTTGATCTGACGAGAGAATGACTCTGGATCTCTATGGCCGCACCTATGGCGTCATCCTGTCATTAAGAGATGTCCAGATAAGATATCTCCATATCTCCTCAAATCGATCGGTCACAGCTAACCACTGTCTCATTCTCAACTCATCTCATGTACTCAGCTTAAAAATGCTGAGTACTCAGCATCTCATACATTAAAATACAGAAGATCTAGACACCGATATGAAGGCCAAAGCAGTCATGAATCTGATATAAGATTTAGTGTTCTCCCCAACCCCGGGTGCATATATACATACCCTCCTCGACTTCGGCACTCACGTGCATGGATGGTGAAGGCGCGTGAGAGTGGGAGCGTGAATGCGCGTGAAACCCTCTTCAACTTCGGCATTAGCCTCTCCTGCATGTAAGAGGCGAGTGCAGGGAGCGAGAGACGCGCTTTAGCAAGCCTGATCTCTCACGACTCTCAAGGATTAGTTTTTTTTCTTTTTTACAGTAACTTCAAAGGGCCTCTCTTGTTTGAAATGAAATCATCCTTCCCAGGCACTCATGAGATAGTTTTGATATTCCAGTCAACATTTTCTGTTACATCTCTGTGAAGCTTTTTTCTCGCGTTCCATTTCAATCATCATAGTGCCTCGAATATATAGCAATATAATTAGTCGTAATAAAGATAGGAGATATGTACATGCAGTGTGGAACCTTTCGCTTCCCTTGTCTCTGAAATAATCTGGGATAGTTCGAATATGCTGCACACGCTCCAAAAGGTGCTTAATAGCGTGGACCTGGGAGGATATCATAGAGAATTTTCTTGGCTTTCGAATGAATTAAACCGAATTTTAATCTGATAACTCAGCCATGAGTTATCAAAGATCAAAAGGTGGCCACAACTTTCGACTTGCCCGGTATAATGACCTAAGGGACAACAATCAATATCTCTTTGTTATACCATAGGCCATAATGTGGCACCTCTGACCGAGAGGTGTATCATTAAGCATCTCATCCCAACAACAGGAGGAACTGAAGATGAAATAAAAATATCATGCCTCCACATAACAATTCTGACATGCCAAGGAAAGCTCGGGGATGTCCTAGAGTAATTTGCGGTTACATGGTATGATGCTTTGTATATAGCTCCTATTTTTAAATTATGCATCCTCAAGATATTTCGAAAAAAAAAGAGCCTCGTCTCTATTGATGATCCTAGAAATGGAAAAATATCCCACCCCAAGGTAAATTATGCCTTGATTGTAGGAAAGTAGGTGGCTTCCCAATGAGCGCGCCATGCAAGCCATGTTAATCAGCCCACGGCCATTCATTCCTCTGGATATTTACTACAGAAATACATGAATAGAAGAGGTCTAGATGAGCTTTTCACAGAAGTGGGTATAACGCCAAATTATGCAATCGTGCCAAGCTAAAGTTTATTTGTCCAGAAGGTGGAATATCAGTGTCAATTGTTCAGAACTACGAGAGAGAACGGTAGACTTTCACGCGCCTTCACGCTCTCGCTCTCACGCGTCTTCACCTGCCTTACCAGTAAGTGCCGAGATCGAGGAGGGTTTGTATATATGCACCCCGGGAAGATAATGCTTGAAATGCTGGAACGATTCTGTATTGAGAAAGAAAGAAGCCCTATAATAAGCAGGCCCAATTTCGTTCCAGTTGATTCTCTCAGAGGGGAATACGAGTTGGTTGAACTTTGGAACGGGAAGGGGTTGAGAAAGATAATAGGCGCTGCCGTGCCTATTGCCTAGGCTTCCAATATGATTACCATGTAAGGCTGGTTTTTCTCGTTTACCCATACTAAATGCAATCGCCAACAGTTCAATCATATAAAAAGCTATCCTCCTCCACACACAAGCCTGCACCTTATCAAAGGGAGCTAAATCGTATCCCGTCTCTGATGTCACTACACACACATTCACGTGCCTCAAAGGAATGCGCTGCCTCCTCAGCCGCTAGTCGCTGAGTCAGTCCAGCCTATCTGACATAGTCTATGTATCTTGCTCCCCACTGAGAAGTGAAAGCATCGAGATGCCTCCGCTGTGGTTGTATAAGCTGTACTCGCAGAAAGGGGTCCTGCTGGCACTGATCAAATGTTCCGTGTTCGTTTATAACTTGGTGGGGTGGGTCATCATCCTCTGTGTCTTTGGCGTGCCGTACCTCCTGTTTCTTTCGTACCGTTTGGGGGTGTGGTTGTGGTTGAGTTGCCGACATGGGGGAAAAGTGGAGCTGATGGCTGGGTGCGATGCAATATATACTCTGCGTTCCGTCGATCGACATAATTCCAAGGCCATTGTCGTCGGTTGGATCGCCGTCGACGGGTGTGTTGACATCTGTAACTTTAAGGAGAGGATTCGGAAGCGCATTCAGGAAGATAGATGGTTTCAAAGATTGACTTTCTGCTTCCAATTCCATCTCGGTTTTGCGGTTTGGAAAAAAGACGAAACCTTCTCTGTCGATCACCACGTGAAGCTGATTGCGGAACCGGAAAGGACGAGTTTCAAGGATTTGATAGAAGAACTACAATGTCAGGATTTTGAAGTGGATCAGTCTCCCTGGGAAATTCTGGTATTGGGGAGTGGGGAAAAGACGACTTTGATCATCAGATGGCATCATTGCTTGGCAGACGGACCAGGCATGATGAACGGGATAATCAGACTCATCTTGGACGAGGGCTCTACCTTTCCAACAAGCAAAATCCCAGAGAGAATTGCACCGAATCTCAAAACTTTCTTCACGTTCCTCGAAAGCATTTTCCACATGCCCACAATTTTTCCGTGGTTATTTCTTATCCCAGATAGAAATCGTCTTTCTGTGACCCATCCGACCAAGAGGAAGAGAATTTTCTTTTCGGATCCGTTGCCTTTGGATCCATTGAAGCGTATCGCTAAGACATTGGCCTGCACTATCAACGACATCTTCATATCTTGCATGATCCAGGGATACAAAGAGACGCTGTTAGGGTCGACAGACACGTTATCGGTGGCAATGGCCGTGTCCCTGCGAGGGGAGTCGCCCGAGATCTGCAATCGCGCAATCGCGATCCGGACCCCGTTTCCAGTGAGCCTCGACGGCGACGCCCGCATCCACGAGATCCGCAAGATGACTCGCTGCCTGAAATCATCGTCTGACATCCTCTGTACCTACACTTTTATGCACACCACATCCAACGCGCTGCTCTCGTGGCTGTTGAATTTGTGCAGGAGAGTGAAGATATCTGGCGGAACAAGCAATATGCCCCTTTCATTGCCCCCCGATGCCAGGGTCCAAGATCTGCCGGTTTCTTCCGTATGTGCGTTCGCGCCCACACTCCTGGAGATGGGTGATTCGCCTTCTTTTGGCATTCCTAGGATATCGCCGACGTAAGGTGAAAAACTTCCGAAATACTTCTTCAAACCATAGGGATACAATTATTTTGGAATGCTGAGTTCGGCATATTCCTGAATTTCGGCGTATTATTCGGAATGCTGAGTCCAAGAAAATGCATACGATTGGGGTAGGACTCACTACAGCATGGGCCAAAAATCCCTCTACACTCAATGAACATTTAGTAAGCATAGTAACAACTTTATAAACATTTATTAAACTAAAAATCAAAATTAAATCATTTAGTCCAGTGGACTGTGTGCCCCATCATGTTCTTGCCGAAATTGAATTCTGCCCCGTGTCCTACGGCGCAATTTTTTAATCACCTCCTTATCAACTGTGCATACAATTAAATGTAATGTAGAGGGACTTTTGGTCCACTCCGTAGAGCCCCCTGTTTAGGGTTGAAATGGGTAACCTTGAACTTTTTTGCAAAGAAAATTAATTCTTACAAGTGTCTCATAAAAGATAGTGGATGAAAGAAAGTTTCCATGGGGACCTTTTGAGCGAAAACAAACAATAATCGTTTGCTTAAAGTTGGTAACACAAGACTACCAATGATGTCACTAGATGTAACTTGACGCCACCATGAAAAATACCTTAACTACAGGAGTTTCGCCACATTGTAGGAAAGAGCGTCGAAAACGGATGCTCCAAATGAATTTTTTTTATTTTATTAGATGGTGGAGCGTGAAAGGCGCGACCACTGCGAGTTTGCTTGCCCGAGAGGCTGACGAATTCGCCTGCATGAGGTTCATGTCGATAGAAGTTGCTTATGAAATCCATAATCTTCAGAAAAAAATTATGTAAAGAATGTCACCTACAGGGTGGTCCAGGCCAAGTGTAACAAGATTTCAAAGTCCCCTCCTACGCCAAATATTTGACTCGTGTGGTTCAAATGTTATTCGTTAGAATAGCACGTTTCTGCTGTTTAATCACGTCCTGAAATGAACACTGTCGTTTCAACACAAGCGGAGAAAATGGCGGTGGAAGGCAGGCGGTCGTTAGTCATAGAACTGCATGAACAGGGCTTGAATAGACCGAAAATTGAAAAGGCAGGCAAGAAGCTGAACTTGAGTCGAACCTTCATCAAAAAGACATTGGCTGGTATGCAAGAACGTATAAAACCGATAAAATAGATATTTTGGGGGGTATCATATGATAAGTTTGATACGTTGGCCGTATGCAGAAACATTTTATACCTATCATGATAGGGTCCCATGATAGGTATAAAAATCGCTTCAATCTATTATGATCCAGAGATTGTTTATTCTGCTTATAACGAGCTACCAGGGTGGATTGCAGCGCATTTTATTAACCCAATTAATTATGTGAACCGTCGCAACTCGTGCTGAGCGCAGTTACTCTGAGATAGATTAAATCCCGTAGAATTCTTTGTATCAAGCCACGGCAGTCGGAATTCCAGCACTAGTCCGGTAAACGGGGTCAGATTAATACCGTTAAATCATCACACTGGTCACTCATGTGACACTCTGGTCAGTCATGCGGGCAGACGCACATGGCAATGTTCCTGGACGGGAGACGATGGATACGAGGTTGTCATTAGGAATACTCACGAATACCTATCATGATAGGTATAAAATACCTATCATAATAAGTATGAAGATACCTATCATAATAGGCCTCACGATGGATACCTATAATTTGTTCTTGCATACGGAACTGAGCAAATAATAGACCTATCGCCTGATACCTATCATGATAGCTACCATGTAATAGGCTATCAAGTGATAGGTTCTTGCATACGGGCCATTGGATCGATACCTTGAGACGGGCTCTACCGCCAAACGATCCGGAGGCAGCAGGAAAACGACGAGAACGAAGAAATTTGTCAACCAAGTCAAGCGCCGGATTTGGCGTAATCCCAACAGGTCCATCAGAAAGATGGCGAAGGATATGAATGTCTCGAGGTCGACGATGATGAGGGTGGTCAAGAACGATCTGGGGTTCACCTCTTACTGCCTCCAGATGCGACAGCTCCTCAGTGCAGCCACCAAGAGTAAGAGACAGTCCCGAAGTCGTCAGATGCTGGAAAGGCTCAACAATGGTTCGACCGCCAACATCATATTCTCGGACGAGAAGTTATTCACGGTGCAGGCAGTCCACAACAAGCAAAATGATCGGGTTTTGGCACGAGGTCGAGAGGAGATTCCCGACCATGCTGGAATGGTGTTCCGCACCCAGAAGCCGGCCTCCGTTGTGGTGTAGGGCGCTATTACCAACAGGGGCAAATCCCCCCTCGTCTTCGTTCCCGATGGCATCAAAATCAACAAAGACGTCTACATAAAATCCATCCTGCAGGACTCCCTGCTCCCCTGGGCTCAAGATCTGTTCGGGGATGAGCCTTGGACATTCCAGCAGGATGGAGCAACGTCTAATACGGGTAATGTGACCGAGGACTGGTGTCGGAAGAATTTGCCAGGGTTCTTGAGCAATGGAAGAGTGGTCCCCGTCGTCTCCAGATCTGACCTCTTGACTACGCCATGTGGTCGATCCTCGAGTCTAAGGCCTGTTCCCAACCCCACCACAGTCTAGAACATCTCAGAAAAGATTTGGTTCGTATTTGGGGCGAAATTCCAAAGGAAGTGATGAGGAACAGCGTCAACAACTTCGAAAAGAGGTTGAAGGCCATAATCAAGGCCAAAGGTGGCAACTTTGAGTGAGACTTACGTCTCATTATCTCATATGGTCCATTATGTCAGGAACATGTTGTTTACATTTCAAGTCAATAAAACGTGCCATATCTAAGAAAATTGCAGCTTGGTTCGTTACACTTGACCTGGACCTGGTATATCGTCTCCACCAGTTTTCTTTTCTCTTCCACACGAAGAAAAGGCAGTTATAAAAAAAATATGTACCAGGCAGTTTGTATTTTAACGACGCATAAGAAACTTCAAGTTAAAAATGGGTCAACCATCCATTATTTGACAAGATTTCCTTCTCTGGTGGACCACTGCGCTGCCATAGCAGTGGAAATCTAAGTGAGAGGCTTGGCTGGATTCTTGACGTAAATGTCATTTTGGTTAAAGGTACCAGTTTGTGGACAGGTTAAGAAAGATTTCCTCTTCAAAATCGTGTTACGGTCGTTGGGGTAACCGAGAAACCGATTGATTGGTTTCAATGGGAGGCCACTAATCATAGTTTGATGTCCATACCCTAAAATAAAATATTAAAAATATACTTTTCCAACAATCGCTGTTTAAATGGATATGTGTTGATTTTCACGTGGTTCCTATTTGCGGACAGCTTGGTTTGTGGACATCCATGGACATAATTTGTGGACACCAGTTTCTGTCAAAAATTATGAAATTATATAGGCCGAATAGAAAAATATGGGAACGAGATATGTACAGCAATTATATTTATCTTCAATGTTGTCCTGTTAAGAAATACAATTGGAAAAATTAAGAAATTCAGGGGTGCTAGGTCCAAAACTGAGCGAAAATGTCCAAGTTCACTCATGCTGATGAGTATGCGTAATTTATATGGTGGCTGACAGGCAAGTGCAAAATATGGAGCATTTGAGGAAATAAATTTTCGGCTTGAATTTTCTGAAATGGCAAAAAACGCAAAACTGTCCACAAATAAGCGCCCGTCCACAAACTGGTGCCTCTACCCTAGTCCATTTTTAATCGTGCATGAATTAATTTTTTTTCCAGGCTCCACCAGAATCACGAGTATCAATAGCTTCAATGGCTAATTACGGCTCGAGATCTTTTTTTGCAACTTCCTTCGCATCAACGAGCCATATCATACTTGCCCGATAGCCAATTAGAAAAATTAACATCTAATAAAATTTTCGTCAGGTATCAAACAAAAGTACAACCGACACCCTTGGAGGTAACGCCACTTTTCCCAGAAAAACAGGGCTCTCCAACACGGGGATCAAAATTTAAAAGGAAAGAAAAATCAAGTTTCCTAAATGAAATTATCCAGCTAGATGATTTCTTCTACCAAAATGAGCCCCTCTGCAGACGACATCTACCTTCCCCGATCAACAAATGAACGAGAGGCGAAGCAATTTCGATTTTGAATCTAAGGTATCAATAATTTGTGAAATTTTCCCGAAATTTCTCTCCTCGTTCTGTCATAGATTTCCTGAATGACAAGACACCCTGCTAAAAGGAACGACAGCTACTGAGAAATGAGACCGATTTATGTTTGCCAGGTATTTGCACCTCGTTGGTGAGCGCCGGGAACTCGTATCACTTTGCCATCGTCGCAGACCAGGGCGCCTTCGAGGAATCGGTAGACGGGAGGGATTTCATGGAAACCATGATCAACCACGTCGACACCCTCGCTTCTGCTGCAGGAATCTACGAGCAGGAAAACGATCACGCAACAGAATTTGTCGTATCGTTCCCACAAATAAATAATGATTGATCAATGAGTCCCAATATACAGGGTGTAACATAAGTTTTAAAGCGATTCTTATCTATCACTACTCCTCAAATACTCAAATAAACAAAATGAAATTTATTATTCTGTTACACAACAGCAATGCCTCCAACGTATTATAACTAGTTCTCAAATCTACCACCTCGTTGAGAAACACAAGCTCGAAGTCTGTCCAGCCATGAATCTATACAGTTTCGAATAGTATCTTTGGGTATTTTGGCCCACTCCTTGCGTAGAATATCTCGAAGTCTCTTCAAACTGTGATGATTTTTGGCGTTGACCTGTGCCTCGAGAACGAACTAGATGCAATAGTCCATGGGATTAAGGTCAGGAGAACTCGGCGGCCATTCGTCCTTGGAAATTAAGTCAACTGCCTGGTCGCGCAACCACTGTTGAGAGATGTTCGCGGTGTGCGAGGTCACTCCATCATGTTGGAAAGTCCACCTACCACGTGGAAATAATCGTCTGGACTCAGGCAACACGACACCTTCCAAAATCCTATCACGATAGTACTGAGCATTGACCCCTAGATCCACGAAATGCAGCGAAGTGCGCCCTGAGCTGCACACCTATGCGAACACCATCACACTCTGAGGATTCTGTTGGCGGGGTACCGACCGAAATTTCTCAGGAATTTCATCATATCTGACTCCCTAAATCCGTTCCTTTTGGGCATTTAGGACCTGTTCCACGGTAAACATTTTCTCATCCGTAAACAGGACCTGTTTTACTGACGCAGGAGTGAAGCGGGTCAGCAGCGCTCGGGAACGATCGAGTCTTTTTTGGCGTTGAAGAGCAGTCAGAGCATGGCGTTTACGGCACTTGAAGGACTTGGGCTGAAGGCCTGGAGTGTCGATCATTTTTCAATACTCACTGAATTGTCACATACAAAACACCGCATTGGCGAGCAATTTTCCTGGCCGACCTGTGCGGATTTCTTGCAATCAGCTGCTTCGCGTTCCTTTTAAGGCGCTCCATCCTAGCTGAACGTGGTCGACCGGATCTCTTGCGGTCTTTCACACCACCGGTGGCTCGAAACTTTCGGATGGTGTATTCAACAAAAGACATCCTGGATTTGTTACTATTCAGTGCACGCAATATTGCAGTACATCGATTTCCGCTTCAAACAATGCGACCACAGCAGCTCTACCGCTTTCGCGCGACATTCTTCTGCAATGAATGCACACAGACTGACTATATGTAAGCAGTGCATAGTATACTCACTGCATAACACCATTAAATTCAGCAGAATCACTAACGCCGCATAGTGAATGCAAAATTTTGCTTTAAGGACACCAAAAAATCGACCTCCCTGGATGGAAAATCTGTTCTGTAATTGCTGTAGAGGACCTCAAGGAAGGCCTCTGGAGCCCCTCACTGAGGTCCTCAGGTGAACCGCATGGCCAGAAAGTAGGGTCAAAGGTCACGGCTGACCCACTCCTCTTCGAAACCCGTTATCTCCTCAACCACTTCACCTAAATTGCTGGAACTTGCACCATTCTCTTCGTTTTAAATAGCTCTTTAAGGTGAAGGCACGCTTGATTTTATACGCCCGTAATAACGGGCGTGGTAACATGAAAAAGCAATTTCTGGGAAACCTTTGCACCTCCATAACTTGCGCAAAAACCAATGAATCAGAAAAAGCATAGGTGAGTTTATAACGATAACGAAATTGTAGATACAGTTCTTGAGAGTGGATTCTCCAAGTTTCATGACCCTGTGAGGGTTCTTTTTGATCCTTACGGTTTTAAACAGACTCGTATCATGAATGTCTGGGGATCGCGGTCAACTTTCACCTCTTCTGCCTTGACCCTCTGTGATTCTTTCAAAATTGTGGTTTGCATTCAAAACGGGAATGTCTGAGGAGTGATTTGACACGTGCATCATTTGTCTATTCGCATGCAACACTGAATGGGAAGGAATTTTACTTGAACGTTTCGCGATTCCGGCGTAGCAGGCGACACCCTCACGCTCGTCCCCGTTCTATGCCCCTACCCTCTCCTTCTCCTTCCCGCACGCGCCTGGCAACCTCGTTCGAGAGTAGGTCTGGCAGGCGCCACTCTCCCCTCTCTCTCCCTTACAATAAATGCTTCATTACATCATAATTGGGTGCTTCTCCCTACGTTCACATCTGACTCTGCCTACTGACTTTTGCAGCCACTAGAGCAGCCGCATTATTTGTCATACTACAAGCATGTCATTCTTTACTACAATACTACATGTCATTCCAAGTCCTGTTCGCTACCTTCTTGACTGAAAATAACGCTGTACCAACTACGCTCCTATTTTGAACTGGAACACACGGGGTCTCTCGGATCAGATCAAGAAGAACATGAAGCTAATACGGACAACAGTCTATCGTAACATAAAATAATAGTAATTTCGAAATATGCTGATCAGTGAAGAAGCCTGCTTGCAGCAGCTGTCCATCGCTGCTTTCCTCAAAAGCAACCTACAAGGTTCACCCAACAATGCATCGCATGGCCAATTTTTTTATTTGGAATGGTCTTAGTGAAGTGGCCATCACCTGATGGGTTCATGTCTGTACTCAATAAATAATTGGTGCGCGATGAATATTTATTCGTTACATTATTGAAATATGTAAGGGGCCTGCGGTGAATGGAAGATGCTTCCTTGAAACTTCTTGCTTCCTAGTCTGCTTCATCTCAGCCCATATCCCTCAAATAGTAGGACGCCTGTTGCAATTTAATTCATAATATTTACAATTTGGAGGGGGGTATGAATTCAACCTGAAAACAAGTAATAAATTCAAAATTATTTGTTGTGAAACTGCATTGTTCAACGAAAACAGCAAGTCAATATGAGAGTACGGTAATACTAATATTTCCCTAATAATGTAACGTTTGAAGCCTAAACGAGCAAGAACTAGCTTATGCATACTGGAATGACTCATTCATTGAGAAAAATAACTTCCATATTCTCTCAAGAATGTTCTTTTTTAGAGTTTCTTTCCGATCAGCGAGTTTTCATTCAAGCTTCCAATAAAACTAAGCTTCCTTGAGATTTTAATCTCTGAAACAGTATCTTGATCTCCTAGTTCCTACGAAGAGCAGCAGGACACGATAGAACCTTCTCCTTCCTTCCTCAATCATAGCTTTTGTCATCATCCACTGTGCCATTATCACGCTAGCATGACCGGAGGTGCAACAAGAGCCTCCCGTATTAGCAATCTCTAAGCAACGGCGATCCTTGTCATTATCCTGGGCTACTCGTGTGGTTTTTTGTCTTGTCAGGATGTACGCTTTAATTTGCAACATCATTTGATACTTTTTCTAGCTACCAGTTGGCTTCTATGAACGCGCCGAATTAATTGATATCTGCATATCCGAGAATTAGTGGACACGACTTATCGAATTTAGCTCTACTGTCTCTTCTCGGAAGGTGACGACTTCGTAACATTTTCATGAAGTTAACAATTTATTTCTTCAGTTCGTGAGAGTCGTTTTTGTAATCGCTCGCTGTCACCCTTGAATAAATTCGCGACCTCCTAATAGAGGCTAATCGACTTCCGTCTCATCCCATTCAAATGAGACACTCTGACAGCATTTTGAACGCCCATATTTCGAATCAATATCATTGGGTCCGTCCCTTAACTCCCTCCTCTCATCCTCTAGCGAAAAGAATAAAATTATATACCAACTTTAAGAGAATTCCGTCCATAATATTCAAACGAGACGCACCGTACTCATTTCCAGGGAGTTCTGTCTTGTAACAGTCTAAAGAAATGCCATGTTCCTTTATCAAACGGTCACGCTTTAGACTAATAATAGGTGGTGCATTGCGTCATCATGGAATTCCCAATTGTATGCAAATTTTCCTCGAATTCCGACCGATAGCATTCAAGTGAGACATTGTTCGAATTTCAAAGGCCGGGTATTAGATCATCCTTTCTATACCCCTATGTACGAGATGCGGATCGGCTCAATATGACTGACCCAACCCAAGGACGGGCCAGCAGCTCGGTTGGCAATCCGATTTCCGGTCGAGTGCAAGGGAGTAATTCATCCGATACCTCGAGTTTTAAACTTAGAGGTCTGTGCGGGCTGCGGGCATGCTCGAATAGACCCAAAAGGCACGATGGCTCGGGCGCGTAAAGAACGAGTTTTAGGTCGGGCTCGGGCAATGCTTCGAATCGGGCCGTTCGAGTTCGGTTCAGAAAAATTGAACCATGGAGGCCTCCGGTGGACGTACAGACACACGAATATGCAAATCAAGAATCTATTTTACAGGGTGTCTCATAAGTCACTATACCATTTCAAAAAATCACAACTACTAAAGTTGGCACAAAAAGGAAGTAACATTAACTGAGTGATAACATGTCATTTGGAATTATTTTTCTCAAAAATGGAAGCAATTCTGAGTTTTGAAAGTGCCTCAAAATGCCCACTGCCTACATCAATACATTTGACAAAAGGCATGGCACCAAAAAATTGCCTAAACTCACTTTGAGCTCTGACGGGACTCTCAAAGACCTCCACCCAGGTGAAAACTTTTCTTCATTACTCCAGCGTTAATTGCGAAGCCTTTTCTCGTGAGAGCAATAATAAATTTAAAAACAATTATATACTTTTCTGTTTCTCAAGTCTGTCTGAATTTAGGAGAGAAAAACATAAAAATAATAATTTTGTAAAAGAGGATTGGGAAAGGTATAAAATGAACTGTCCTCAATAGGTACGTCTTATTAAAATGCATTTGAGCAATTTCCATTTAAGTCTGATATCAATTCATTATCGTGAGAAAAAAAACCTATAAAGGGTGGTCTTTCCATTAATGCTAAAACAGTGACCTACTTATCGCAGTTCGGAAAATATTGCAGCTTGAAATGGTAGAGTGACTTATGGAACATCCTGTATGCATGAACGGAGGAGAGGGCTCTCTACAAGGATATATTTCCAAACCCCCGATTCGGGAGCGAAGGGGAAGAGGGGAGTCAGTCTGGCGCCTTCCCATGATACGAGCAGGGACGCAAGGACCCTTCAGCTAACCTCAACACCTACGTGAAATGTGGGTGAAGCAAGGGAAGGGGCATAGAGCGGGGACGAGCGTGAGGGTGTCGTTTGCTACGCCGGAATCGCGAAACGTTTCAAGTAAAACTCCTTCCCATTCAGGGTTACATGCGAATAGACAAATGATGCACGTGTCAAATCACTCCTGAGACATTCCCGTTTTGAATGCGAACCGCAATTTCGAAAGAATCACAGAGGGTCAAGGCAGAAGAGGTGACAGTTGGCCGCGATCCCCAGACATTCGTGATATGAGTTTGTTTAAAACCGCAAGGATCAAAAAGTAACTCTCAGAGGGCCGTGAATTCTGATTCATTGTTTTTGCGCAAGTTATGGAGGTGCAAAGGTTTCGCGGAAATTGCTTTTCATGTTACCACGCCCGTAATAACGGGTTTATAAAATCAAGCGTGCCTCCACCTAAAAGAGCTATTTAAAACGAAGAGAATGGTGCAAGTTCCAGCAATTTAGGTGAAGTGGTTGAGGAGATAACGGGTTTCGAAGAGGATTGGGTCAGCCGTGACCTTTGACCATACTTTCTGGCCATGCGGTTCACCTGAGAACCTCAGTGAGGGGCTCCAGAGGCCTTCCTTGATGTCCTTGAGGTGTTCATGATGTTTGGAATATAATTTTCCGCCTTGAAGATGTAGAATAAGAGAAAGAAAGTCAATGGAATCGCTCGGTCTTCCCAGAAACCTTTGAAATGCACACGGCAGAATTTAGTGCATATTGTCAAAACTGCTGCAACTTCTGCACATCTCTCGGCTTCCGTTCCCTTTTTTGAACGTTCGAATTGTTCATACGTCACATTCGATTACTTCCTATGCTACAATCGCATTGAGAATGGCCCCTATTCCATATTAAATCAACTCAGTCATGAACCTGGCAACTTAATTAATTTAATTTTTAATTAAACTAAAAAAGGAGACTTAACACGTTGACGACCAGCCTATTTTTGCTTGTCCTTCTGACCTGTCTTGGAGGTATTTTTAAACACATAATAGTTTTGAGCATCTGCCGTGTAGTGGACGGCGCCGCCGCCCCTTCAGCGCATCGCAGCATCACTGGCTGTCCAGGCTGCTTGCTGACTACTTTTTATCAGTAATTACGAAATCATAATCTTCTGGAACGTTCTCAACAGTTCCAGAGGGTATTCATTGAAAAAAAATCTGCATCCTGGCATCAGGACGCATTGTCGCCAACGTGTTAAGGACAATCGCGAAGCCTCGAACGAGAGGAGGCTTCGTCCACCATGGAGGAGAGTCCTTTCCAAACAGATTGGATGGAATCAATGCTTCTGATGTCAGATAATCCCCCACAACTGCATTTGTAGTTTTGCCAGATACCTGGGTGGTGGTTCCAAGCAGACTAGTTTGTGCCACTGCTGATTTGCAACAAGCTGATTTAGTATCAAGACACGGCCGCGAAAGGATAGGAAAGGGAAGCAAATTCTGTCAA